GTAAAGTGTTATGTTAACCTAAGTTATGGTGTAAAGTGTTATGTTAACCTAAGTTATGGTGTAAAGTGTTATGTTAACCAAAGTTATGATGATGTAAAGTGTGATGTAACCAAAGTTATGATGATGTAAAGTGTGATGTAACCATAGTTATGATGTAAAGTGTGATGTTAACCAAAGTTATGGTGTAAAGTGTGATGTTAACCAAAGTTATGATGTAAAGTGTGATGTTAACCAAAGTTATGGTGTAAAGTGTGATGTTAACCAAAGTTATGGTGTAAAGTGTTATGTTAACCAAAGTTATGATGATGTAAAGTGTGATGTAACCAAAGTTATGATGTAAAGTGTGATGTTAACCAAAGTTATGGTGTAAAGTGTGATGTTAACCAAAGTTATGATGTAAAGTGTGATGTTAACCAAAGTTATGGTGTAAAGTGTGATGTTAACCAAAGTTATGATGTAAAGTGTGATGTTAACCAAAGTTGTGGTGTAAAGTGTGATGTTAAACAGGTAGAAAATCTTCCATCAACTTGTTTTACAACCACTATCTGCCTATATCCCTCTCAACCATAGAGGGCAGTAGTCTTCTCTCTGCTACAAAATTCTAAAGTCCACATATGAACAATTTGCAGTCATCAAAACAAATAACAATGGAAGTATTGCAGCCTACGTTATGAACGTTTCGAGAAATCACATATAGAATCAAAAGTTTTAAGAAGATATGTTTATTGTACAACATTTTTGAGACAACAAAAAAGAACATTAAAGAAAAATAACATCAAAATATACACATAAATTAAGTTCTCCCATTATCCAGACAAATAAAATTCTGGTTTTCACAAAGATTGTCACAATGTAAGTGAACATTGTCCCATGCCAGATATATGACAGATAAAGAGTCTGGAAAATCATTCCATGCATGTCTGGAAAAGTATTTTGAGTAATTTCATGAAATCAAGTGATGTAGGTCCCATGTTCTATGTATGTACGAAGTTTGACATTTACATCCAACATCTTGACACAGGAATTGTAGAATTTAAAATGGCCACCAGTCAGCCATCTTGAATTTGGTTGTGAAAAGCTTTCATTAGCATACAAGTCAATGGTGTACTAGTATTGTTTGAAAACTATCAATCCAGGATTGGTAGAGTCGGGTTAAGTGAGGTCAATCAATAAGTCAGATTTCATTTTAATGGGACCTTATATAAGGTGAAACAAAGAGGGGGACTCTTCCCCTCCAACTCTGAAAGTGACATTACACAATAAATAGGCCAGTCGCACCATGTGCATTTCAGAAAATTCTTTCAAAATGTACTAAACCATTGACAACACAGACTACACATTTAAAAAAACACTTTATCACAATGCTTTAAACTTGCATTGCAAATATTGAACAATAATTAGAGATTTTCAAGAGTTGACAGATGAGGTCAACTGTACAACTTCTGGATAGACATTTACATATTACGTGTGACTCTACGGTACTCAATAAATTAACAATTCATCATTGCCATCAAATTATGTACGAGGAAATTCAGTAATATTAGGATCAAGGCCATGATAAACATGTCAAGTGTTGAATCAAAGCAATGTTCTATTAAAATATCATTTCCATGGCTCTATGAGAAAAGTTTACAAAAATATATGTGGTTTACACTGTGAAAGTGCAAGCATCATCTTTCTGTGATCTGAAGAGAAATTCCACAAAGTAATGTTTGTTGTGCATGACGTTCAGCCATTTGTTGGATGTGTTAACTCATAATACACTTTGGACACAAAATGGCCGCTGAGATCTAACTGAGAACGAGAGCAAGACTTGTTTTTGTGCTACAAATAGTGTTCAATTTTCTCTTATCAATGACAGTAAGAAATAATGGAACACTATATGAAGGGCAACAATCTTGCAGTTCTCAATAAGCAGCCATTTTTGTCTTGATGCATTTTTCATAATTTTGACCTTTAACCCTTTTTGTGACTGGTTACTATGGTTACCAAAATAATAATTCTGCACAAATTGGTATCCAGAGCAATAATTACATTATTTTCAGAAAGAGCATCAAAAATAACTAAGAGCTTACAGAAATGAATCATCTCTAGTAGCTGATAGTGTATGATTCAGAATAAAAAGGTTCTTCAAAATAATATTCTATATGCAGACATTAACAAGGCTCCAAGATTTGATGAAAAACAAATCATGGTGTAAATATCTTGCTTTATGCAAAAACTGTGTAAAATATATAACCTTAAAAAGCACCTAAAATTACTTAAAATAAGCTCTAAATACATTCAAAAATATATATAAAGAAAAAAATAGAATGATTTGTTGGCTGATTTCCACAGAGATATCGATTAGGAGAAATGAAAGTAAACGATTAGGAGAAATGAAAGTAAACGATTAGGAGAAATGAAAGTAAACGATTGGGAGAAATAAAAGTAAACGATTAGGAGAAATGAAAGTAAACGATTGGGAGAAATGAAAGTAAACGATTGGGAGAAATAAAAGTAAACGATTAGGAGAAATGAAAGTAAACGATTAGGAGAAATGAAAGTAAACGATTGGGAGAAATGAAAGTAAACGATTGGGAGAAATGAAAGTAAACGATTGGGAGAAATGAAAGTAAACGATTAGGAGAAATGAAAGTAAACGATTGGGAGAAATAAAAGTAAACGATTAGGAGAAATGAAAGTAAACGATTAGGAGAAATGAAAGTAAACGATTGGGAGAAATAAAAGTAAACGATTAGGAGAAATGAAAGTAAACGATTAGGAGAAATGAAAGTAAACGATTGGGAGAAATGAAAGTAAACGATTAGGAGAAATGAAAGTAAACGATTAGGAGAAATAAAAGTAAACGATTGGGAGAAATGAAAGTAAACGATTAGGAGAAATAAAAGTAAACGATTGGGAGAAATAAAAGTAAACGATTAGGAGAAATAAAAGTAAACGATTAGGAGAAATAAAAGTAAACGATTAGGAGAAATAAAAGTAAACGATTGGGAGAAATAAAAGTAAACGATTGGGAGAAATGAAAGTAAACGATTAGGAGAAATGAAAGTAAACGATTAGGAGAAATAAAAGTAAACGATTAGGAGAAATGAAAGAGGTAGGAAATTTTTTTTTTAAAAACTTTTTTCTTGTATCAATCGTCTTGGTGGCATTACCATAAAACTATTTCAAAATTATACTTTATTTTAAAATTATTGCACAACACAAGACCACCATGAACATTTTACAGTATGGGGAATGACATTTAGTTCAGCCACACAGATGGCTAAACAGATACTGGCATTCTCTAAAGAAATGAATCAAACTGTTATTGGGATATCTCTCTGTTTGAAAAAGACGGACACTAGTGAAACAAACAACCATGATCATAAATAATAATGCATATTAAAATGCCATCAATATCATTTCATATAATACTAAAATATGGACATCTCTGGACAGAAATTTCCTAATTATCTCAATAAATTTTGTTAACTTTCAATTTTATTCAAATTTCACTATGATCTTATGTTTTCTTTCAGATCATAGGCCATTAATAAACATATCAGTCGAGTAATAAACTATGTTGTGCCATTCTGTACCAGAACTCTACACAAAGGCGATAAACATAGATGAAAAAATTTCTATGTTTGTTCCCCAGGTACAGTTCTGCTATACAGCCATTCCAAATCAAACAATTGAATAAACTACAGACCAGGGGCAAGTGAGCCAACTGCAGCATGGTCCAGAACAAAGTGACCAGATCACAGAATGAACCGGAACATGGTAACCCAGCTGCAGGATGATCCACCAGAGTGACCAGGTTACTGTATGGACCAGGACATAGTGACCAGGTCACAGTATGGACCAGACAATAGTGACCAGGTCACAGTATGGACCAGACAATAGTGACCAGGTCACAGCATGGACCAGACAATAGTAACCAGGTCACAGCCTGGACCAGGACATAGTGACCAGGTCACAGCCTGGACCAGGACATAGTGACCAGGTCACAGCCTGGACCAGGACATAGTGACCAGGTCACAGCCTGGACCAGGACATAGTGACCAGGTTACAGCCTGGACCAGGACATAGTGACCAGGTTACAGCCTGGACCAGGACATAGTGACCAGGTTACAGCCTGGACCAGGACATAGTGACCAGGTTACAGCATGGACCAGGACATAGTGACCAGGTTACAGCATGGACCAGGACATAGTGACCAGGTTACTATATGGACCAGAACATAGTGACCAGGTTACTATATGGACCAGAACATAGTGACCAGGTTACTATATGGACCAGAACATAGTGACCAAACTGCAGCATGGTTCAGTACAAAGTGACCAGGTTACAGTATGGACCAGGACAAAGTGACCAGGTTACTGTATGGACCAGGATATAGTGACCAGGTTACAGTATAAACCAGGATATAGTGACCAGGTTACAGCAAAGACCAGGACATAGTGACCAGGTTACAGCATGGACCAGGACATAGTGACCAGGTTACAGCATGGACCAGGGTATAGTGATCAGGTTACAGCATGGACCATTACATAGTGACCATTACATAGTGACCAGGTTGCAGCATGGACCAGAAAAAAGTGACCAGGTTACAATATACAGCGGACAGTGACCAGGTCACGGTGACAAGGTTATAGTAAGGACCAGGATATATTGACCAGGATACAATATAAACCAGAACATAGTCACCAGGTTATAGTATAGTGACCAGTTGCAACAAGGTCCAGCACAAAGTGACACAGTTGCAGCACTGTCCAGCACAAAGTGACACAGTTGCAGCACTGTCCAGCACAAAGTGACACAGTTGCAGCACTGTCCAGCACAAAGTGACACAGTTGCAGCACGGTCCAGCACAAAGTGACACAGTTGCAGCACGGTCCAGTACAAAGTGACACAGTTGCAGTATGGTCCAGCACAAAGTGACACAGTTGCAGCACGGTCCAGCACAAAGTGACACAGTTGCAGTAAAGTCCAGCACAAAGTGACACAGTTGCAGTATGGTCTAGCAGAAAGTGATCCAGCTCCTGTATGGATCAGAACAGAGCAACCCAGAACACAAACATTTCAGACATTTTGTAGCACTGTATAAATACAATTCAACCGAAGTGAAAAAGGACTGATTTTGTTATGTACAAGAATCATTTTTTAAATTTTAAATTCTGTTTTTATAATTAATCTTTATTTAATTTTTACTAACGACAGGCAGAGGATGCGCTTCAGTGTTGAATATCCAATGATCTAGCGGTATTAGATCATCTTCTGAAAATAATAAATATAAATATTTCAAAGTCTCAGCTAAGAAAAAACTTTGTTGAACATCATCATGCGCTGGCCGAGGATTCGTCACATCACGAATTCCAGAATAACCATTCTCTACTCTGCAGTATTTTTCTAAAGCCTGTAAAAATAAAAACGCATATATATTCATGTTAAATTTTACCTATGTTTTATTTAAAGTTTAAATTTTTGTTTGACACAGGAGGCAGTAGGTTAATATATATCATTTCATAGCAAACACATTTACCTGTATTGCTTCCCAACCCCAATCTCTATATTTCTGATCTTTTGTTAGCCTCCAGAGCACAAAATATGATTCAAATGTTTCAGGTCTTAATATATAATATTTTTCATTAGCTCTCATGGCCACTGCTTCTGCTTGTCCATCAAAACGGAAGCCTTCAGGACCAAGTTTTGTTGCTGAAACAAAAACACTATTAGTCAATAGAGAGTAGCATTATGTACATAACTTCTGTCAGTATTAGATGTTATGAAGTATATTTATCAAGAAGTGAATAATACAAGTCTAAATTGTCACTCATATCATATGCTTTATCGAAAGCATATCAGAGCCAACCCTTCTCATGTCCATGTCAACACCACATACCAAGGGATTCACCATTCCCCTTGATGTTCACATCACATAAAGAGGCCAGACTTCAGTACTATCATATGCTTTATGGGAAGTTTCTGTCAACTTGACACCTAAATCTACAAATACCCACATTCCATACAGAACGTAGACTTACCAGTGTTATCATATGCTTTATGGCAAGTTTCTGTTAACTTGACACCTAAATACTATTCACACCACATACAGAAGGTTGACTTACCAGTGTTATCATATGCTTTATGGCAAGTTTCTGTTAACTTGACACCTAAATACTATTCACACCACATATAGAAGGCAGACTTACCAGTGTTATCATATGCTTTATGGCAAGTTTCTGTTAACTTGACACCTAAATACTATTCACACCACATACAGAAGGCAGACTTACCAGTGTTATCATATGCTTTATGGCAAGTTTCTGTTAACTTGACACCTAAATACTATTCACACCACATACAGAAGGCAGACTTACCAGTGTTATCATATGCTTTATGGCAAGTTTCTGTTAACTTGACACCTAAATACTATTCACACCACATACAGAAGGCAGACTTACCAGTGTTATCATATGCTTTATGGCAAGTTTCTGTTAACTTGACACCTAATCTACAAATACCCACATTCCATACAGAACGTAGACTTACCAGTGTTATCATATGCTTTATGGCAAGTTTCTGTTAACTTGGCACCTAAATCTAAATAATGTTCTTCTTTATCTGATCCTTTGGCACCAAGTGCAAACATTCCACCACTAAAACATGCTAAATGGTCCATTTTTCTGTCAATTCGGCCAGATCTATATTCACCAATAAACGTCAAACCACCAGCAGTTGTTTGTTTCATTTTTTGCTCAATTGCCTGTATGTAGTAAAATACACAGTACACAGAGACTTAATAAATACATTCTGTATCATCAGTGGGTAAGAAGAAGTGTAATAGCCATTTTGACCAGGGGTCAACTCAATGTTTGACTGAAGGTGACGTCCCGCTTGACCCCATCTCTCGTATCAGACACAATCTCTCTCTATTCCCTCCCACCAAACCAAATCTCTCCTTCCATTCCCTCCCACCAAAACCTTCTCTCCATTCCTTCCCACCAGACCCAATCTTTCTCCATTCCCTTCCACCAGACCAAATCTTGCCCCCCCCCCCCCCCAATACTTACATCAACAGCATCATAATACATTCTCTTTGCCTGTTTATCTTCACCACCAGACTGGATCCAGGATTTTAACAAATATTCATAGAAACTATCCCCTAATGCACCAATACAGGCATGTTCTGTAGAAATAACAAATCAATTAGGTCATTCAAACAATATTATCTCTACTGCATACACTGCTTAGACCATAGAGCTTAGACAGCCAATAATAATATATTTATACATAATAATATACTCGTATTAATGAAGACAAGTTATAACAGAGAACCAAGCATTGGCAATAGGTGATTTTCCGTACAATTGTGAGATCTCGCGAGATGCATGACAGACGCGCGTCGAACATCTGCCGCAAAAAATCGAACGATTTGATTATGAACTAGAATTTCTTTATTTCGTAGCTTACATTGACCGGCCGATCTTCGACAGAGGAATATTGCTTCCGAATACCCTTACTTAATCGAAATTGCCTATCATCAAATGTGGACAGCACATTATTAAGCATGGAAATGTCCCCAAAATACTTTCGCGTTTGTCGAATCCCACACGATGTTTGACGCGACTACGATGCTATGACCTTTGTTTGTCCTGTTTTTACATTCGATTTCACGCATAACGCGTGATTCTCGCAGTGAACTGAAAATGGTCTATTGAAATGCTTACTCTCATTCTATGTGTCATAACTAAGGCTGCTGGGTTGAATCTTATGACAAGAAGTTTGTATAGAGGAATTTATAATACTGATATAGTCACAGGAATTGTGGAAAGCAAAAAAAAAAGTATAAATACATTCTTTTTTAAAACCTAATTTTTAATTACATATAAATTAATGAGAAAGTAATCAAAGAAGATCTCCAGGGATGAAAAAAAATCATATTCTCAAATATTTAAGAGAAAATAATTTATTACTCTACAGGGGTACTTTTAGTGAATAATATCTTATTATTTATTTTTTTTAAATGGATACTGTATTATTATGTGCCATTTCTATGATTGAAAGCATTTTAGTGATAGTATAATAATGCTGTCTCTGTATCATGCAGATATTGCATAATACTATGCGTATAATTTAAAACTATTGTTAACACAGCAGCTGTTGCTTGTTTGAATCGCATTTATGGTCACTACATGCAATCCCCATCTACTTGTAAAGAACGAATGTTTAATATAGCATAATTTTTAACAGACACCATTTTTCATGTTGTAAAAATCTATTCATATCAAATTATATATTATTAAAATCATTATGGAATAGTGCATCAATATGCTAAAAATATTCTGCACTCTAAGTATCAAATTATATAAATTACATTACATTACCCACAATGCAGTAATGTTAATAGCTTTCAGATAGAAGATCACCTAATAATAGCAATGGGTTATACTTACGATTTCCCCATTTACCAGTTTTAGGATTTAGATAGTTGTAGTATAATCCGCTTGGCTTATCGATGTCATCCAGAAAATCTCGCACTTTTTGAACCTTAAAAAGAATATAAACACAGTGTGCAACCATTTGGTGAATAAGATGGAAAGAATATAGAACTATACAATACACTATCGTGGAATACTTGGTTCTTCATTGAAATACTATATTATGGTATGTTGAATTCAATTTATTTTCAAATATTTATGATGAATTTGATACAAAATGTATTTTCAGGTATTTTGTTCTATTTCATCATTGAAAACAAACTGAAGATGCGAAATATTTCGTCAGACCGAATTTTATAAAGATGATAGCGAAATACAATATACAAGTCAATAACAAATATTATTATACATCTGTCACGATATTGCACTGGGTATACCATATTAGGAAATGCGAATTCCAAATATGGAGCAATTACACATGTAAGTGTTCTCTAATATTAAAAACAAACATGGCTGCCACCAGGGTTTGACCAGACTCCACACAAAGAAGCTCGCTAAATCCGTTCTAAACTTGTTGAATACTGGCATTCTCATGATGTATAATAATAAGGTTATTCTCGTAATAACCTCATATTATTAGTAAGTACATGCACTTACATATATGACAGATGTGTGTATGGTCAAAATAAGTAATATTGTAATAATCCAACATACAACAAATAATAATTTTGTTATATATGTACCGGTACTTATATTGAAATATATAGGACACACAAACAATTGCAAATAACTTTTTTCAGCCTAATTAGCAATATAAAATATTCATACACTAAATATAATTTATATAAAATAGTTACTATGGAAACATTTGAGGTATACAGTGTAAATAATAATTTAATTTCTTCCACATTGTAGTAGTATTTATCACGTATTAGAATTTCTTTAGATTTCATATACTTCAACAAGTATGTACATAAAGGTAAGATGTTAATTATTCTGTATACATATGTAATAATAGAATGTAATAAATATGCAAATAAGCATTGCGTTTTTCAACATTTAAATGTGTTTTTTTGTGTGATATTGTGATAAGTACTGGTTCTTCAAATTTAAAAATAAATATTCACATAACAGTGCAGGCAGTGTTGGTTTATGTCAGAATTATTTTGTTAATGAACCATGTGCAATTTAAAAACAACTTTCCAAACCCCATAATTTTTCCCCCATTAATATTTTTTTCTGTAATTTCATTCTTGATTTTGAATCAAATGGATATAATTTTCCATCGCCAAAAAGGCTTGATCAATTTTGTTCCTAATAACTTATGCGGGTTTATTTTATGACAGATGTCAAAGAAGACTTAGGAATACAACATTGCTGTGAACAAAGACAAAATTGTAATACGCTGTAATATTAAGTGGATTAAAATCTACCAAATTGTTATGTCTTGAATGCACTTGTATATTGCCTGTATATTGCATGCAGTGTATTCTGCTACTGTATGTATTATGAATGATTACCAATAAAAACTTATAAATATATAATAAAAAAAAAAAAAGACTCATATTGATAGACTCACCTTTTCCCTGTAGATGGGATTGCCGGTGATTTCTGATAGATACACAAACTCCACATGCATGGAACCAAACTCTGCTAAAATAGAACTGCCTCCAGATGCCCAACCCCAATTATGTGATCCACCACTGTGAAATTAACACAGAAAAAAAGCCATTGAGTGAAATGTGACAGTTTCTGTCAATAATTTTGTGTCTTTTTGAAATTTACATTAAATTGAGCTTTGATGTTTCATGTAATATCCAAGGAATAAAATTGTTTACTGTCATTACCTATCGCAGGATGACAATTAAACCATCTCAAAAGAGTGATATCAGTGTAGTAATTTTTAGATTTTCAAACCTTACTACACAATTACTACACAAATTTAATTACCAGTAATCTAATCACACAGTCATGAATTGGTGACCCTATTTATTCCATGTATCCATTTTGAAACCCACTGTCACCATGAAAAAAACAGAATCATAAACTTTGTACATGCATCTAAGTCTTAATATTAATAATAATATTCCTTATCTGATTCGTGCCACCGATTTTTATTAACTTTCTATCAGCAGCTTCTCACACGTTGGGAAAACTACATTGTACAGAGATTGACGGAATTAGAAATGGCTAAATTGTAAATGAGACTACCTGAGTAACACGAAAATGCACCTTTTCGTTGGTGAATTTCAAACATTACTGATACAGTAACAATATTTACCATATTATTTTATTTAAAAACAAATAATAAGTCATTAAATGCATTGTATTTTAAGGATAAATATTAAAAAATAACTGATGTGCTGTATCACATAAAAAAGACATAATACATATGATAAATGAATACAAGTCGTGGTATAAAACCGTTGCTATATGTTTGCATTGTATGCTTAAATACAAATGCACATGTGTCTCATGATAGGTATTCACACAGAGTGAATGTAATCGGTCAAAATATGCGTGGTAACATGTAGGTACGGGTATGCACTAATCCAACCATGCCTGAGACCACGTTAAAAAATGGTAGAAATGTAATTTACTATAGAAAGTGATCAGTTCAGTCATGTCAGGGAAATCTGCAATTTTTTTGCTCACGATTGTTATATGATAGTAAGATAAAAGGAATTGTGGTGCATATTTTATACTGACTTAAAAATGTAAATTTATTTAGAGACAACTTACGTTTTCACGTTGACCATGGCCATGGGAATACCAGTGGGAGTATTAAAAGCTGGTAACAGTTTATCAGCAACTTCAACTGCTTTCATTTTGAAAATCTAAATATAAGTATATAGACATAGTTATCACATGCCATCAGATCCTCAAACTATTTCAGCTGTTGTTGCTTGTTTCAGTAATATGAAGACTTACAATTTTAATATATGGTTCAAAAATAACAAACGAGGTATGCAAGGAAGATATTATTTTAAGTTGTGGGAAGATGTCAGAAATAGGAATGTTGTAAGTAAGTGAAAGAAATAGTGAGTGGTCTGAAACTGATTTTTTTGTTTTTCACTTTTTTTTAAATAAGGCGATGAAACTCATAAGCATGGAAGTAACATAGTTTGCGATCTTCCTCGCATATACGTACATGAATATCATATAAATCATTGGTGTACACTAATAATCTTAATAACTGGAAATGGTGTTTGTTGACACAGGTTGTGTTACGCTGAATGTTGAAGATACATCACTAACAACTTGGCCTTGTATATTGATGTAGTTTTGCTGATGTGTATAAAATTCTATGGCTCTATCAGTATCATTTGTATACTGTAAAACATGTCTTTTTAGCAAATTTAGCGAGAGAACTGATTAGCTAATTCAATATGTCGCTAATAACTTTATTACAAATTCAAAATGGCTGCCATACAACTTCTTTTTTCTCCACACATACTTTGTAAACAACACAGAAAAACGTACTGACATGATAGATACACTTTATTGAAAAGTAAATTGACACACACAAAAATAAACGTATTCACTGTGGTCATTATTTCAATGAAAATAAATAAATAAAGCGATACTGATATATTATTACGGAAATTAGTAGTACTTAGTAATTTTTGAGTCCCAATATAAAAGGTCAATGTTCTGGATGTAACGCAGCAACGATACCTGCTTTTTCAAATCCCTGTTGAATCAGTTTTTTATCATGCGAACAGAATCAAATTACACTTGATAGTTTTTTTTTTTTTTTATGGAGGTGATAACTGCGCATTTGTTTTGGCGCACAACAAGTATTGTGAAAACAGGAAATCAACAATGACAAGCTTAGAGAGATTCGCTAAATCAACATTTCGCTATTACGTCATTTTGCCATGATTCGCTAAAATAGCATGTCGCTTTTTCAACATGTTTTACAGTATTTTGCATTTTTTTAAAAGAATAACAAAAATACTCGTGAGCTAATACAGGAACAACTTGCATGAGACTGTGAAAGGCATTACGTGTACTTACCGAATCACCTGAGATGGCATAAGCAGACAGCAAGCCACCTACAAATCGTATATTCACTTCAAACACTGATGCATCTGATGCTTGCTGAAATGTACAAAGCCATCAAACTAATTAATATACGTCTTCAAATGAAAATTAAAATCACCTTTTTAACATTAAATTTATTTGCTTAAGAAGTCTGCACAAAGACAGAGTATAATACGTGTATTTACTGACTTGCCGGGAACGAAGCTATCCAGGCCTTGACATTAACTTTTAAATTCACTTCTACATATTTACTATAGTATGTTAAGGCAAGAGAGTTGCCCGAATGGCTATTTTACTTGTCCCAGGCTTTAAGCTTTAGTTTGATTTTTCATTTCCAGTATCCATGCAGAATCCTGATTGATGCCACCAAATTATGGCATATTGTAACTGTTGAAGACACACTGTCAAATGCTGTATGAATTGTTATGTACAATGCAAGTCTATGCATGCATGCATGGATTACATACAACAAAAACTAAGAATGTCTGATTTTGTTGACCAAAACTGAAAGGTGAGAAGCAAGAATAAATCTTTTTTTTTTATTATCATGATTGTTGTTTTATAAGTATATTTTTGAATGTACATTGACCTTTCCAAAGCAGAGGCTATTCAGAGCATTTGATTAACCTGTTAAAAAGTGACAATAGCATGTTGAAATACTGGGAGTCTATAGGTCTCACCGTATACATGTAGGTGACAATGTAAAAATAAGGCTATTATAACAGAGGATGTTTCAGACACTGACATTTTGATTACCCTCTCTTGAATACTGGCAAGGTCATGAAGGTCTGCACTGAATCTATTTTGCAGTTCATGTAACTGTCTTCGTAATAAAGGTGTTCTGAGCTAGAATACGACATATATGCTGCTTGTTATTATTCGTCATCATGGACCTTCAACCATAAAATCCTGAACAAACTAAACATTCACTGTCTACTTTCTACATTTCAGACATTTGAGACCTGTATATTTTGGTCTTTTTTTGATTGCTGACTTTCTGATAATTTCTTACTGACTTCATGACCACATCAATATTTTTAAGTATAATAACAATATCTTTAATGCTTCCTTTGAAATATTTTTTTTTAAATCAGTTAATAGCAATATAATAAA